TTTGGCTACCTTTCTTTCTTTCTTTCATTCTTTCTTTCTTTCTTTCTTTTTCTACTATTTCCTCTTTATATTTTTCTTTTGTCACTACTTGTTCTTCATTTTCTCTCTTTCTCTATTTCTTTTTCTCCTATTTCTTCTTTTCTTTTTTCTTTTATCGCTTCCTGTTCTTCATTTTCTTTCATTCTCTCTCTCTCTCACTTTTTTATGTTTCTTTACTCCTTTCTTTTATACTTTCCCCTTTACTATTTCCTTTTCTTCCAAACTTTCACATTTCTTTATTTCTTTTTCTCTGATTTTTTCTTTCTTTTACTTTCCTCTTCTATTTCGTTCTTTCATTCTGTCTTTTTACTTTTCTTCCATTTCTTCTCTTTATACTTTTTTCTTTCTCTTTTTTCTAGACTTCTTCCTTATTTTTCTCTTCTTTTTTTCATAATCTTTCTCTTTGTTTCTTTTTAACTTTTTCATCGCTTCTTCTATTGTTCTCGCTTTCTTTCCCTATTTTTGATTTCTTCTTTTTTACTTTCCCTGTTTCTCCTTTAGTGATCCTTCTTCCTCTTTTCATTTCCTCGTTCATTTCACTTTTTTGTCTTTTTCTTCCTCTTTTCTCCAGTTTTCTTCTTCTTCTTTTTCTTCGCTTTCATTATCGTATTTATTCTAGTCCCTTTTCAATCTATATTCCTCCTCTCTTTCGTTCTATCTATCTATCTATCTATCTATCTATCTATCTATCTATCTATCTATCTATCTAACTTGGTCTGTGATTATATAAATATTGATCTTTTAATATTAGAGTTCACAGGGCGAGCGAAAAAGTACTGCGTTTTAACAGAATTTCTTTATTTTATTGTACTGTTTATTTAGATAGAGATGGACGGGTCAGCTCTCAAAATCCTGATAGATAAATAGATAGATGAATACATAAATAGTTGAGGTTTGGTTAGGGCGGTTAATTCTAATGATATATGAACGCTTGTCAGTTTATTTAATGCCAAATATGTGAAAATGAATTAAAAGAAAGATAGATACAGGTCCTATTCACAATAGACTGAAAAAGGTCCGGTTAATACGCAATTCTGTTAGTTACGATATAGAAGGAGATCACTTTTGTGAAGGTCTTACCCTTTACAGGTGATACAGTCGTATTATGCAAAGCCTCGCCAACAACGTATATATATATATATATATATATATATATATATATATATATATATATATATATTCTATTTGAGCTACGTATAGTGGCATTATTTCAGGAGAAAATGGTTTTATGGACATGTGAGCCGAAAGCTCAGATCGATGAACAACATAATAAAAAAAATATCAAATGTTGGACAGTTTTTGTCTTTATTTTCTCCCGAAACTAAAGTCACTATACGAAGCTTACAACGGCTCATGGTCAAACATAATAAACATTCATTATATTTAACAATATATGTTTGATTAATGATCTGCTGCTTATAAAACTAACACACACACACACACACACACACACACACACACACACACACACACACACACAGATATATATATATATGGTGCGATGGCTAAATTGTCGGCATTTTATGTTTTTAATTTCGCGCATGCGCGTTGTTTGTTTTTTTATTTTGTCGCCTTCACATTATAGTAGGATCAGTTTGGCATCGTCTGTGAGAAAAAGAGCACCGTGACGCAATTCACTCCACCAGAAATTTGGAAATGGCGCCAACACGAAGATTTCAGAGTGTTTGGGCATAAATCTGAGGAGGATTCGGAAAGAGTTGGATGAGTTTAATGGTGATTACGAAGGTACTTCAGCTCGAAAAACTCATTCTGATCGTTCTCATAAGAAAAGAACTCCCGACTTTGTTGGTGAGGGTCTCAGTCTCAACACGTAGGCCTACATCAAGTGCCTTTAGTGTTAAGTGTTAGGTGTTAGTGCTGCTCTGGTTTTAAAAGGGTGGATGCTGGAAGACCCTGTGTCTGGCAACACAAGCAGAAGAACATAGTGATGACTGTTAGACAATTTCTGTGACCACATCACCCGTTACATCTGGCCTCCTAACTCCCTAGACTACAACCTCCTTGATGATTATGTGTGAAGAGCAGTTGAACGAGAGACCAACAAAACTCCTTGTAACAGCAAAGATGAGCTGAAGACAAGGATTATGGCAACATTCACCAATAAGACTGTCCATAAGTATTGCTGGAGATTCCGAAGTCGTCTGGAGGCCGTAGTTGAAGCCAATGGCGATTCTATTGAATAAATTTACTTTTTAGTATCTCAAGATATTTTTGTATAATTTTGGTAAATATAGCTGTTAAAATGAGATGTCAGTGTTATTTTCATTTTCGCGAATTTTAGACGACAATTTATTCATCACACCCATTATATATATATATTAAAGAAAAAAGGCACCACGAGGCGGTGTAGTGATTAGCAAGCGTGTCTCGCTAAAATAGTTACGAATGAGTAGTGAGTTCAATCCTCACTGGGTGTCCCATACTTTCGGCCTTGTGCCACATCTAAGCTACACATGGAAAATCGCTATATTAAACAAAAACCAAAACCGTTGGTGGAGCTAACGGACAACTTGCCAAAAGACATGAATAGCCTTAATCAAGAGAAAATCTTGAACAAGGACAATAATAAGAAAAAAGAAAGAGAGAAAAAACCTAAAGGCAAACACGTACCTATTCAATAAAGTGCTCAAAGCCTAGATTACCTAGACTGAGCAAAAATGCTTGATAATGTTAATTCCTATGAAAGGATGGCCCTAGTCGCAACTCGATTTTCACATTATCTTCAGTCGTATTACCGAATATGGATTTTTAAGTTTATATATATATATATATATATATATATATATATATATATATTAAGAAATGGACAAAGTCCGACAATTTTATTTTATTAAAGACATTTTTATGTTTAACGTTCTTTTTTATAGATACAAGTATTTAAGTAAATGCTCTGTTTATAATAAACAGTATTAAATAACATTTACCGCGAAAGTGAATGTAATGGATTCGACTGGAATTCGAACTCGGCTCTCCGATTCCTCAATCCTCAATCCAAGCCGCTATCCATTACTCCACCGTGCCTCCTCACATACATTACATACGACCGTCTGCGCATGCGTATGGGCTAAGCAAAATGCAGATAAAAGTTTTCATTCATAAATATTCTCTATATTAATATAATGCTAGACAAGATCCTCACGGGTAAAGAAGAAAATTGAAGCAACAGAAATGTGGTCCGACCGACGAATATTGAAAATACAATGGACAGATCATACAAACAAAATGGCAACTTTACGGATAAAGAGAAACTCTACCGAAACTGATATTTACAATCGGGAAAGGACGGCTACAATTACTGGGATACATAATAAAGAAAGAGGTTCTAGATAATTAATACTCACGGAACATTTTCCCCCCTCTCCCTCTCCCCTCTCTCTCTCTCTCTCACACACACACACACACACATACACACACACATACACAGGCGGGATGTGGCGAGTCTCTCACTACTCTATCGCTACTCCCATGGAAAGTGTTCGGACGAACTATATTCCTTGGTTCCGTCAGGTCTAACCTTCACGGCTAGGACCCACCATTCCACTTACATAGTAGCAAACCACCTACATCCCCTTCGTATTCTATCGGTGAGAAGTTCCACTCAAACAGCATCTTCTAACGAACCACTGCTCTGTGGAACAGATTCCCAAGAGGATGTTTCCTCGATCACTAGAATCTTAACCTGTTCAAGTCTAAAGTTAACCGTTATCATCCCCTCATATCCGTATAAACAACCCCTTAACGTAACCCTCTACCACGAGTGTACCCCCCCCTCCCCGAGCCTCGTACAGGGTGAACCTTACTGTAAAAAACATACTGAAAGCATACTGAAAGCTTACTGTAAAAAACATACTGAAAGCAAGAGAAACGGAGAAAAACAATGAAATTTTTTCATCCCTTCGTATCCGTATAAACAACCCCTTAACGTAACCCTCTACCTTGAGTGGCCCCCGGGCCTTGTACAGGGTGAACTTTACTGCAAAAATCATAGTAAAAGCAAGAGAAAAACAATGAGTTTGTGTGAATTAATGGCAAAACACAGACAACGAGGGATACTAAAAAGTCAAAAGTTATCTTGAGAAACAACAAAAAAACCGGAAGTTGTCACATAAAAAACCGGAAGTTGTCACATAAAAGAAACAAACACCAAAAAAAAATGTTATTTCAAATTTCACGTGATCAGGCTCTAAGAATCGTACCCACGGAAGTAATTGGATGCATGTGGATGAAAAATTATTGATTTCCACAGAGAATAAATCAGAAATAGCCCAAGACTTTACGAAGCCATTTTTACAAAGTTTCTAGTCTATGTGTGTATGTGTACTCAATTATGAATCTATACGCATGTATGCCTGTATCTATGTCAATGTGCATATGCAAATTACGAATCTGTGTTCATGCGTGTGTGTGTGTGTGTCGCTATATGTGGGTTTGTGTGTGCACTCACTTGTGAGTCTGTATGAATGTATATGCGCTGCTGTAATTGTGTTTCCATGTCTTCGTGTGTTTGTATTTTTGAATGCGTGTGTGTGCGTGTGCGCACACGCGCGCCTCTCCTTTCGAATATCGACATAACATATTTCAAGAATTCTTTTAGATGAATAAATCAAAAATAGATCCCATGTCTTAATGGATACATTTTACACGTGTGCGAGTCTCTGTGTGTTTGCGTCCATATATGTATGTGCGCACGTGTGTATATGTTTGAATGCGTGTGACTGTGTATATGTGTGCGTATGCTCATATATGTGCCTGCGTCAGTGTTATTGCTATTGAGCATGGGATTTCGTGTCTTCCAGCGAGCCTCTTCAGCTGATGACCTACTTAAGGCCGTGCCACGACCTAAATATCTGACATTTGTAGATGTTTACGAATATTATATAAGACAGCCGTCTACTGAACATCTGCGTAAACACACGTGAAAGCGTACGGCCGTATAATAATCACAGTTTGAATGAAAATGAAAAAATAAAATGTGCCATTTTGTTCAATGATATAGATTCACGGAGAGGAACATTAGATAGGTTTGGATTGGCATAGATAGATAGATATATAGATAGATAGATAGAAAGAAAAAATAAGTTACTGGCACAAGAATGCGTAAAAAATTTTGAATGTTAATGTAGGAAACTGAGGATTGAACATTTCCAGTCCTAGTATGGCAACAATACACCATTTTAAATCTAATCTAGAAGATAGATAGATAGATAGATAGATAGATAGATAGATAGATCTAACCTGGCCGTGCGTCTCGAAAAGGACCTCCAATCGGTTGTGAACTGGGCCGGAATTGGTTGGTCAACTTTAATGCTTCAAAAACAAAACTGCTCTCTATTAATCACCACAGAGATCCTTCCCTGTCCTCCATTAGAATGTCTGACGCTCAACTTCTCGAGAGCAACTCTCTGCGGCTGCTCGGTCTCACGTTGACTGCTGACCTGAGATGGAACAAATACATTGAGTCAATTGCTTCGTCCACCGCAAAGAAAGTTGGCTCCCTGTGCCGCACTAGGAAATGTTTCACCCCGGAATCGATCCACCAGATCTACAAATCAAAAATTCGCCTTTGCATGGAGTATTGCTGCCATATATGGTCTGGAGCCCCTTTTGTTTGCCTCGGGGTTCTTGATAGGCTCCAGAAGCGGATATGCAATATAATTGGCCCTGATCTGGCATCTCGTCTACAGTCACGTTCTCACAGACGCGCCGTCGCCCCTCTCTGTTTTACAAATACTTTCATGGCAATTGCTCCGAGGAGCTGCATTCGCTGGTTCCCAGACTTCATGAGTTCAAGCGCCCTACGAGGCTGGCATCCCGCTCTCACCCCTTCACTGTCGAAACTCCTAAATGTAGCCGTCTCTTCTACTCCAATAGCTTCATGTCTCGCACCTCTCGCCTGTGGAACTCCCTTCCTTATTCCAGTTTCCCCGAGAGCTATAATCTCCAGCTATTCAAATTTAATGTCAATCAACCTCTCCAGTTGCCTTGATCTATCCACTATCCTTCTCCTCATCCTTTCATCTATCACTTCTATCTGATCTTGCTCCAAATTTTCTGTAACCCCTTGCGTCCTAGTGACTTCCTGCCTTGCTTGGGGTGAAACGCTTAAAAAAAAAAAAAGATAGATAGATAGATAGATAGATAGATAGATAGATAGAAACAGTGATTTATAGATCGGGGAAATGTGATTTAGGAATTAATTTAGATTAACAGATATGCAAATTAATATAAAATATAGTCTAGATAAGATTCGACAGAGATAAATAAGTTGATACAATCGTATTGGTAATGGAAATATTAGCCATTTCCATGTAATGAAACATTACGCATTTATTGACTGAGCAGTTTAAATTCATAAAATTTTCTATTAAAGCAAATTTTCAAATGTTATCACTCTTACCAGTATTGATTTGGGTTTCCTTTCCATCTTTTTGTTTAAACTATTTGGAAACGTCAGCTTCTTCATAATGTCAGTATTTCTCTTTCAATTACATGTGACGTGCATTTTAATTTTTGGTGCTGTTGAAAGTCCGCCCGAGATGTGGTTTCTATTATTTGCTACAGATATTTGTTTGTGATTCTGTGTGTCCAGTTCAGAAGTTTCTCCAAAGAAGGATGGTCTTCCCCACGACTTAAAAGCTTCATTTGCTCGAAGCCATTTTAACCATTGCTATGAGAGAGAGGTTGTATACAGTTGATATTTTAAACATTTCTGGACGAGTTTGGCTCCATGCACGTCGTCCATATTAAAGTCTTGATCTGACATCGCTTTTTAAGAACATAACTCGAGTTTTATAGGCTAACGTTTTGGCTTTTCCAGAAACTTATGGCGATGGGGGAAACTAGACCTAGCGCAGCTTATTCTATGTTCAATACGAATGCATGCTATATAGACAAACGAAGATATATAGACAAAAAAGATGTCAAGATAGTTGGATTAAATGATGAGCAGGTAGATATAAATAGAGATGAATAGGTATTGATGTTCAAATAAATAGAATCGAACTGGGATATATTGCCTGAAAATTGTAACCGCCTTAATATATTTTAATTTTTCAAAATTAAAGCATCTTTTCAGCTGTCTTATACATCTTCCAATTCTACCCTTGACCCGTCTGAAGTATCGTTGGCTGACTTTCCGCTTATAACTACGTGTCTAGTGTGTGATATGCATATAATTCCGTCCATGGTTTCTGCTAAGATGAATCCCCACAAAGCATGTGTATACAATAGTATCTCTGTAACTTATGACTTTTGTTCCTCAGCTGGCTCCTGTTCTCTCTAAACTAATAAATGATTCTTGCTTTCATTCTTGTTAGAAATCCTCTTCTGTATTTACATTTTTAAGAACACGACGAACTGTCTGTGTTTTCTAACTAGCGGCTTATTAGCTTTCTACCTCTTTTTGGCAACGTACTATAGGCTCGAATCAACACCGAATTGGTTAAGCATTTCACCTCGCTGGATCTTTTTTTTCCCCCAGACAAACAATATGGCTTTCGCTTCTCTAGGGAAGCTGCTGTGTTAACGATTATTACTGAAAGAGTATATCAAGCTTTAAATAAGAATAACGAAGCTTACGTTGTTACTTTGGATATCTCGAAGGCGTTTGACAGGGTTTAGAATGCTGGTCTTCTTCCCAAGTTGAACGGTTATGTTATTTTGGACTAATTTCTGATTTGATTCAATCTTTCTTATCAAATCCCGAAATGAAAGTTGTCTTGAACGGCCATTCTTCTAGATCTTTTTTGCATTAATGCAGGTTTCATTCTTTATCTTCTTTTATTGTTTTCTCTCTTTAATAATGGTTTCCTTTTTCTCATATTCTTTTACATTCAGTAATCCTCATACGTCTTAGTGGCCTTATTACCTTGCTCGGAGTGAAATGATTAAAACAACGTGCCCATCTAGAAAACTTTTCAGATGCTCATCTATAATTGCTCATCAAAGTTCCTCATCTAAAAAATCAAATATAAAAACAAACTTAATATTTAACAACATTTTTTAATATTGTTGAGTCATAAGTAATTTCAGTTTTTGGGAAATTATTGTAATGAATGTATCTGCCTAACTAATTGTTCCTTTAATATATGACTAGCAGTAAAGCCCGGCGTTGCCCGGGGATGTAACAGTAAGAGATAGATCAAGTATCGACCATCATAAAGACTGAAAAATAAAATTGACAAAGATTATTGTTTAAGGTTGACGGACACACATGTCTTAATTAGTTTTTTTTTTTTGTTTTGTTTTATTTTTTTACGAATTGATCAAACCCAAACTCAAACAAAAACATTGTTTTCAATCGTTATGAGTCTACCGATTGAATAGAATTTTATTATAAACAATTGTCCTGTAAATAGAATTTTTAAAACATTCTGAATGTAAAAATAAAGAAAAAAGTGTGCAAGACAATAAGAAACACTACCTGCCAAAAAAAGTGAAGTTTTGTTGAAATTGGTTGAAAAATGTAGAAAATCCGATCCCATATATAAACGAACACACACACACACACACATAAACAACCTGGGTTTTTTTTAATAAGTATAACTCTATATGAGTTGTCCCTATTTCATTCTCGCAATAGCGATGCCTCTTAATCATGTTTTCAAATTGATTTCATGCAAAAACAATTATGTTTTTCCAATTTTGGGCGCCGTCAGAACCACCGCAAGATAATTTTACGTAGTCCTGTGAAGTTTTGTTGAAATCGGTTGAAAAGTGTAGGAAATCCGATCCAATATATAAACGAACAGAAACACACACACGCACACACACACACACACACACAACCTGAGTTTTATAATAAGTATAACAGGCGAGGAAATGTGGGTTGCTTACAACAATGTTCAACGCAAATGGCAGTGGATTAACAAGGATTAACCTCCACAGCAGACCACAAAATCTGAACTCCATGGAAGAAAGGTAACTTATGGGCGCTGTGAAATCATCGGGTTATGAGGTGAAATAAAGCATTAAATGCACATTTAAACGTCCGCAACGTGTCCATAAAAGTTCATTCGAAACTGCGACCGTCAGCAGAGAAAATGTTGCTCTCCTCCATGACACCTCAAGGCCGCTTAAAGTAAGAATAACGCAGGGGAACCATTGGGAACTCGATTGATCTGTTCAACACCACCTGCCATATTCAATATATACTATATTTCGTGATAAGACCTTTACCCAAAACCAACGATTATTAAAACCATTTCTATTTTATATATTACTGGTATTATTATTAAGAATAATTCCATATCAATGAAATCAGCTTGTGTCCAAAACAAGCTCAGCTCTCAGATTCAAGAGTACATTGAAAACTTGCTGACCTGAAAACCTGGAGACTTTTACTCAAAAATATATCGAAGAATTGCCTGATAAGTGGCAAAAAGTCATAGCATATAGTGGTGAATATATACCGTATATTTCCGTGTATAAAACGAGTTTAAATCCCAAAAACCACCCTTAAAATTTGGGTTTCAAATAAACTGATATTCAAAAGTAATAAAACCATTTCTATTTTATATATTACTGGTATAATTTCATAATAAAAAGCCTATTCGAAGAATAATTCCATATCAATAGGAAAATCAAATTACTTGTTTTGGGTTAAGTCCAAAGCGAGGCAATCTTTTACCGAAAGGGGTGGGTAACAGGTCTGCCACCTTTTACAAGCTCAGCTGTGAAAATGTAAACATTGAGTTATGATTACGTTTACAACTTTTATCTTTCGCTAAACTTTCAATAATCATCATGGTAGTGTTATTTACGACAATAAGAACATTTAGGATAACATAATATTTATTTCTCATTATCATTTTGGTGTTAAATAATAACACAATTTGATGAACAAAATTATCACTCAGCCTGATTACATACAAACTTTACTTTTCAAATAAAAATCCTTTTTCGGATGTGGAAAGTGGAATGTACTATTACCGTGCATTATCGTACTGTTATTAGCGGTATTTTGTGATTGTCGATGAAGTATAAGTAAATGGACATTAGTACACCAGGCTCACAGATAGTTACTACAGTAGTAAATTTGATCTTCTTTGAAAGACACGAACTAATTTTACTAATTTATCAGTAGTCTATAACAGAAACCCTTACATGGTCCCTAAATGAAAAACTTAAAAGGGAAAATAAGTGTAGGGCTAAACAAAAAACTTTAAAATGAGATACATTAAATAAAAGATAAAATTTAATTAATTACAGTGTATTTGCTTTTATTTTTCAGTCTTTCTCCGCGCTCC